GTAGCTATTCTAAGAATATTCGAAAAGTTGTTCCTTGACGCCGTAAAGTGAACAAAACTCCATAAAAATGGTCTAATTTTCAAACAACCATAACTCCTAGAAGAGTGAATATATTTTAATGAAATTTTTTTCTGAAGTAGACCTGATGGATACCCCTAAAAAAGTATTAGATAACATTTCCCTTCATAGTCAAACAAATTTATTAAAAATGAAAAACCGAATTTTTAAGAAAAATCGGTGCCTCTCGGCGAAAAAAAAAATTTTGAATCGTTCTAAAAAAATTATTTCTAGGTTCTGAAGGCAAGTACAATCATTTTTGGTGAATAGACATACCCCTAGAATCCTGCGCATTTTCGAGAAAAAAATTCAGTACGGGCGGAACTTTAAACGTTAATAACTTTTTAAAGAAGCCTCCATCAACAAATTAATATTCTTGATTTTTGTCTTATTTTGGCCTTTAGAATTTCCCATTAAAATTTTTCCCAGGATTGGCCGAACACCCTGTATACTTCGCGATCAGACCTTCCTCTTTGTTATTACGCGTACGATGTATCACAGTGTTTAATTCGATCGGTTGCCACGTCGATTGCGCGGCTCATAGACGGTTGGACAATTTTTCAAATTCATTGTACAGTGAAACAGTTCCCTGGTGAATGTATCGAGTGCAGGCCGAACGACAAAGAGGGAACGAAAAGAAAATGGTAGGACGTAGAAGTGCAGCGTCGACAAATTCCTCGCTCAACAAAATGGCCAATCCTATCGTCGTCTTCGCCATTCTATTTCAGGTCTTTGCGACACTTGCCGTCTAGACCAACAAAACTCTGTCCGTCTTGTCACCTTGGCCCGCCGCGGTTAAAGTACGGATAGACCTTAAAGATTCCTTCGGTTCTTTCCGGTCTTCCGGTGCGTCGAATCTAGAATTTGTTTCCTTCGATCGATGTGCAAAGAATTCGAGCAGACAATTTCTCGTCCGGCTGCGTTCGACGATACGCAAATTATGCGAGCACCACATCGAAAAATTGACGCAGTTATCGAGAAACATCGCCCGATACAGTGTTCATAAATCTATATTGGCGAAGAATTAGTAAATTGTCCCACTATTCAAAATTTTGTCACTCTTTTTCTTAATCCGCTACTTATTAATATTAGAAATTTACGTTTCTTTTTTTAAATGCTGCTTCTACGCAAATCTTTTTTCTATTTTACACTTCGAAATTAATCTGATGTTTATTAAAAAATTAACTTGTCTTGTTACAAATATTTCACGAAAATACTTAAAGATCTCAGTTATCGAAATTATTTATAAAATCACACTTTGATAAAAAAAAATCACGATAACGTACGCGGTAAATGCCGAAGAAACGTTGTGTTATTTGTTCATCGATATTAATGAATGCAAAAAAAACGATGATAATGCACTAAAATATAATCCTGGAATTAAGTCGCTGTTTTAAAACACGCGATGGCATAAAACAACGGTGCGATTAAAGGGTGTTTATTAAAACTGTGCGTATTTCTGAGTTCGCGGCGAATTCGTTTCCAAGCGCCGCGAACGGGTGGAAATGAGAAACAAAGGGGGAAAAAGCTGGCAGGGGCGAGACAGACACGAAAGCGAGAGGGTGCGGCGGAGGTTCTTCGCGCGAGAGAACGAAAATTTGATATTCATGAAGCATTTTAAAGTCGTGCCACCCGAGAAATGGGTATAGAATAGACTGCTAAGCAGGACTAGATTCGTAGACATTTGCGGGAACCTATTTAGATGCGAGTCCGTGATTCGCGCCGTTGCTCGCGTCTCTCCTGCACACTCTGTCGGAGTCCAAGTTTGCGTTTCCAGAAACGAAACGTATGCAATCGATGCAACTTCGATCGCGAATCGACAAATATCGCTAAGAACGATGCTTCTTTTTATTCGAATAATTTTTCAATTACCATCCACGATCCACGAGATTCTTATTCGTGATACGTTCGTTTAAAACGTTCGTTGAACGCGTATTTATATTGTAGTTTTAATAGTACCTGTAGTTCTATCGTTAACCATTTTCTATTTGTTTAAAATCAACTTTTTGTCCTTCTTATGCAATATATGCTGCTTCGATCCAATCGAATCCGATAATTACAAATTCCAGTAACGTCGCAAATGGAAATGTGGCCTCATTCTCTTTTCTTTTGACAAAAAGAGTGCACATCATTAACTGTCGATAATTCGGCGTTCGCAATCGTCTCGTAAATTCGATTCATTGGAATAAGGTCACATGACCTAACCTCTCGCTTTTCCTGGGTCAGAAATCAAAGCGATCTGGCGTCTCGACCACCAGTTTTACGATTCATGTCCAGTAGTAATGGGACTGAAACGTGTTTAGATATCATCGATTACGGTAAGCATCGGTATGAATACAGGTTTAAATGTTTCGATCGTATATACAGGGTGAGTTTCTTAACATGACGATCTCAAATAACTCGTAAGGTATTCGTTGTACGAAAAAATGTTTCAAACACAAGTTGCATGGTATCTAGGAGGACATACAGTACTGTAATCTGTTGTTTATTACCTTACTTTTTTATTGAGATATTAGGGTCTCCTTCAGCTTTTTAAATGAAATGTCTAATATTTTTTTCGAACTCAAATAAATCATCAAATTTTGCGTAAAAAACTTACACAAAGTATAATTACATATTTTTTAAACAAATTTCATTTCAATCGGTGTTCGAAATGCTGTCCATTACAGTCAAAAATTTGAATGAGAGATTCTAAAGGCCAAAATAAGACGAAAATCGAGAATACCAATTTGTTGATTGAGGCTTTGTTAAAAAGTTATTTGCGTTTAAAATTCCATACCCATCGGAAATTTTTCGACAAAAAAATTATTTTTGGTTGCGAAGGTCAATTTCAATCATTTTTGGTGAATAGACATATCCACGAAATTCTACGCACTTTCGAGAATAAAATTCTTGTAGGTAGACAAATTTTATTAACAATTTTTAACAATAATTTTGTTAATAACATTTTAACGAAGCTTCAATCAACAAATTGACGTTCTTGATTTTCGTCTTATTTTGGCCTCTAGAATCTCTCGTTCAAATTTTTTACTGTAATGGACAGCACTTCGAACACCGCTGGAAATAAAATTTGTTTAAAAAATATCTCAGTAATTATTCATTTGAAGTCCCACTTTGTGTATTACTTTTTTACGCAAAATTTGATGATTTATCCGAATTCGAAAAAAAATATTAGACATTTCATTTAAAAAACTAAAGGTGACCCTAATATTTCAATAAAAAAGTAAGGTAATAAAAAACAGATTAGAGTACTGCACGTCCCCCTAGATACCATGCAACTTGTGTTTGAAACATTTTTTCGTACAACGAATACCTTACGAGTCATTTGAGGTCGTCATGTTAGGGGATTCACCCTTTACATCGTTTGGATTCTCTTCGATAAGACGTATTAAAGATCTAGAAACATCGATCCAAAGAAGAAAAATACGTTTTTTCATATTGAGGTTTCTTCTTTATTATGTTTTACGTAGAATATCTCAAACGATAGATAAGTCAAAACTTTTTAAATATATTTATAATTAACTGCTTATTATTTAACATTAAATAATATTATTGTAAATTGTTCAAATAAAGTATAACACCATTTTAAGTAGAAAAGCAGGTGGGTCGAGTTCAATGTAATAGCAACAAAACTTTTTTGTCAATATGTACATATCTCGAAAAGTAAGACCAGTCGTCACTAAATGAGAAAGGAAAATGTGTAACATATTAATTTCTACAATATATTAAAAAATCATCGCAATCATAGATATAGTTGATCGACAAGTGTATCAATATTTTAAATATGGAGCTTAAATTCTTGAAATTGAATAACTTCGATATAATTGGTCAATTGTGAAAAGATAAATGCATTATTTTGTATAAATTCTTTTGGAAATTCGCAACTTTCAACCGATTCTCTCATATTGTATATTTAACCTAATTCGTGGCATGGAAATTCGGTGTTCGAGGCGTGCATGGTGCTCCAGAGATCGCATAAGTCGCGTAACTGGTTGAAAATCGTACATCCACCGATTCCCAGATCACGGCCGCGCGATAACAGGTCAACCCCTATATACCGAGCGCCGCTAAATTGAAATCCCGAAGAAAGAGAGACGCGGTAGAAGGATCGTGAAACGGCACCGTTGGAGGGGGTGTGGGTGGGGGTTGGGGTAGAGGGGTCGTCGAGGGTGGCGGATAGAAGCATCGCGCCCGCTGAAAAATTATAATAATCACTTTAGAAATTAATGGTAGCTAGAGCCCGGTAGTACGGGATCCGTGTGCCGGGAGTGACAAGGTGGCCTCGATGGTAGGGCACGAGAGGAGCGTGCAAATGGCGACTCCTTCCCGACTGGACCAATCGTTGCACGCGTCGGAGGGTCGAGTAATGGCGGGCACGCCCACTGGCGACGTCATCGTGTCCTGCGCGCAGAGGCACACTCCACACATTCGTCGGGCCAGTCACCATTCGGACGACGTATTCGGCGCAGCTTACCACGCGTCTTCTTTTTCCCTTTTCCATCGTCTGCTCTCGTGTGCATGCAAGAGATCGCAGCAAGGAAAGGTCACCGTTCGGCAGCCCCGATTTCTTTCTCTCCGCGCGGCCGCCATTCTATCGCGGTCGATCGAGAACCCTCGCGGCGACGAGGATCGACGTCGATCGAGTGGAACCACTTTTTGGCGGGAAAGTGCTATGTAGGTGACAGTGTTGTCAGTGGGTGGTCGGTAACGCTTGCCGCGCGACAAACGTTCGAGGACGCGTTTGGGGCAGTGATTTCGATTCCAGAGGAACGATTATCGCGGAACGATGGTGCGATCGATTCTCACCGTACTTGGTTTAACAGTGATCCTCGATCTTTAGACACACGACTGCGACTAATCGCAACCAGTTTGAAATTCGAGTTGTGGGTAACGCTCGATCGGTTAATTGACTGTCAGCGTCGAGAGACGTGGTCGATTGATACGTACTCTTGCAAGGCGGTGTTTTTCGTTCGTGATTGAAAGTAAGAATTAGTGAATCCAGCGGTGAAAATCGATCCGGTTCCGCTCACGTGGCGTACCGTAATCGGTGTCACGTTCGCGACGAGATCGCGGGTAGCGGCCCTCGCGTCGTTAGGCGGAGTCATCGGAGAAGGTGGTCACGACGCAACAAACGGTGACGAGTTGTCGAGGAGGTGGCGAGGACGACGGAGGTGGCGGCGACGGTGGAGGTGGCGGTGGCAGCGAGAAGACGCACCCGTATGCGGCCGCAACCGGTACGATAGAGGAGGTGGAGGCGCAGGAGGTGGAGGTAGAGGTCGACGAGGTTAAGATGGAAGCCGAGGACCATCTCGCCAGGGAATACGTACAGGAGTTTGTTCTCGATCATCTCGATCCCGCCGACGTCAAACGAGAGGTTGGTCATCTCGATACTCTTTTACGCTGGATTATCCAGCAACCTTCTTAAATAATTCATAGTTAAAAATTGTTATATTTGTGAGAGAAAGTGCAAATAAATCGTTAAACGCTCCATGCCCGTTTCTATATAGTATTTCGTTATCGTTCCGATCAATTTGTTTCGCTCTTTTTGAAGAAATATTAAATTAGCCTAAAATATTGAGTGCGTGCAAGTTTCGATGAGTCCTCGATAGACATCTGTACCTTTTTGTTTGAAACAATATCAAACTTCCGTCGATTGTTATTTACGACCAATAGTGGCTGCTTTGAGTTGACAATTTTGTTAAAAATTAATATTCAAGAAGCAATAGATATCATTTGTTCGTTATAAGAGTAGAGGAATCTTAAAAATATTGTGAACAATATAACGTGATGTGTTTGGCAAATCCACCGCATCGTTTTCAATCTATAAAAGATGGTTTTTCAAAACAGACGTGGTACTTTGACCTGATGCTAACAGTTGGACTTAAGTTTGCATCTAAAAAATGATAATACCTACTTCGATGGAGGCATTTTACTATTTTTTCTTTGCTAAAAATATTAACTGTACAATATTAACGAGTATAATGAAGCTACAAATGTGTTGTTATTCATAGTTGCTAATTTTATTATTTAGTATCTAGATGTTAAACTTTTAAAATTGCTCAGTTATATAGGTAACCGTTAATGCAAAACGTGTGACGCGATGTGAAGAAATTCAAAATAACAATTAATTGTAAAAATTATTGTGTTGGCGTTACATTTTATCAACGTTATTATTTTGCGTGTTTGATAGCTATTAGCTCTAATACTAAAACTAACACTACTCGCGTGATTTAATGAGCGAATTATCGTGTCTAATATTGACTTTTCACTTTTGATTCATTATTTTATCTACGTCGGTTCATCGAGTTACGATTAGGTACTACATATTTCATGCGAATGTTGTGCCTGCTGTGTTATATTCTCTTGAGAAAAACCTTAACATTTTTTTTTCAAATTATAAAATATTAATGAAGATATCGTTTAATACATTAATTCATTAACGATAGAAGGTTTGTGGAATTTAGTCCTAAAAGTGCGGTGTTTGATTTAGAAACGTACAAACGTCGAGAGAATTTAGTTTCAAATTTATTTGATTTACAAGACTCTTATTAATATATTTCATTACAATCGCACGGTTTTAATGTTTTAAGGTTTAGTAATTGTAACGTAACGAAACAAGTACCAACGATTTATCCGATTTGTTCTTCCATATTTCTATTTTTTCGACTAAAATGTAAATTTGCAAAAACACAACGACTCGTATTAAAAATAAAAAAAGGGAATGCTAATTCACAAGTCGCTTTTTCATATGTTTTTAGCGAGTATACCATAGAGATGATGAATTAATTTACGCGCGTTAGTATCTGCTACATACTGATAATTTCTGTCAACGTTGGGCTCGCACGTGTGAATGGAGTCACGTGCACTATTTGCATTATATGTGCTTGAAATTATGCCTAACGTTGCAGATTTGCATGACAAAAATGTGGACTTGTTTTTCTGCGTGGACGTTGAGCATCAAATATTAAATACGTTAAACAACAAGGATCGTTGTAAGGTTGCCTAAATTTCGCGTCTATATCTAAATTTTATTCCTAGTAATTAAATTGTATCAATTTCATTTTTTACACGGGAATAAATTATGTACTTCAGACGAATTAAATCCAGATATTTTGATGATAACAAGAAAGATCTAATTCATAAAACATAATAATTAATATGGATTCAACGTAGATTATAAATGGAAACTAGCTATTCGAGATAATGTAAATTACTGTATCTACTTTTAAGGATTCGTGATAATATCGTTTTGCTATCCTGAAAGAAATATTGTCGATTCTAAGCAGCCGATCAAACTATTTTAATAACTATAGTTACCTCGATTACGTCAAAATTGAAATCCACAATCCTTTTATAAAACTCCACCGAAGATGTAGACCTATCCAAGGATAAACTCGTCCGATCTTAGTAAAAAAAGTCTCCAAATATCTTGATGTTCTTCGTTATCCTAATCTGGTAGAACACTAACGAATTTAAGAACGTTGTTCCGAGGAACATTGCACAGAAAGGGTCCGTGAGGTTCGTTAGACTGCCAAAAGAAGGTTGAGACCATTGACATAAGATGGTTATTTGAAAATTAAAATGAAAGATCGAAGAAAAGTTGATGAAATTAACCAATGATCGTTCGGTGTAGGTGCGAATAAGCTCACCGATGATGGTGAACGGTAGCGTGGTGCAGCTACCTGGGCAGGTGCAGACGCAGGGTCTGGCGTTGGCGCCTTTGACGCCGCCGGCGCACGAGTTGGAGCAACCGCATCCGCTTTACGGGCAACCGCATATACAGGTGCAGCACGGAGTCCTGGTGAAGGCACCCCCGGGTACAGCTTCTCACCTAACGACCCTCTCGCATCCTGGAACACCGCCGGACACGCCTCCGGTCTCGGCCTCGCCGCCGCCGTTGCAGTTGCATCGCGGCGAACGAGATTCTCGAGAAAGAGGTATCTTCTTGCACCTGCAGCAGCCTGGATCCCTGGTGCAGGATGAGATGCAGCCAGGAACCGGAGGGATGGGCTGGTTGACGCAGTCTCTCAGGCAGGAACCACTCGACCTCAGGCCTCATTGTCCCCAGGAGCAGACGCCGGAGCATCATCACGAGGCTTGGCCTCCAACACCCACGCATCATCATTTCCAGGACCTGCAGCACCTGCAGCGCCATACCAGGCACACTGGTAAGTAGATCAAACATGGATCGGAAGTTCTACCTGGCAGGGTAAAAGGCTAAATAACAAACGAAAACCAATTTTGGTTAATTCTTTCGAAGGTATCACTGTTATGATCCTATCCTTGGATATTCGGAACTGTGTGGCAATTGTTTAAAACCTTGTGTCAATAATGGCGTATTCAGGGTACCCCTTTTCTTCGTAATAAGACATTGTTGCGTCGAAACTCGTTGCACACTGACTTATGAAACGAAACTTTCTTGATCCTGTTCACGTATAGTAAAACCGAATATTTTCTAAAGTGTTTAGTAACTGGAGATGAAAAATAACTGGAAAAGTAACTGGATAGAAAATGAACTCTTTGGATCTTCGAAAGTAGTAGCACACGAAGAGAAACTACTACAACGATGTCCCATGTTAGGTTTACATCCTCGTAAAGTTCTTCCGTTTGTTTGCTAGGATCATGAAGGCAAAGTGATGAAATTATTGTGTCTGATAGGTGTATCTTTCGAAAATTAACTCTTATCTAGTGCTTGTTATGTTATCTTTATATATTTCATCTTCGACTTGTACTTTACTTCCACTACATCGAAGTCAAAGACCACGATTATCACATTTTTGGTATCGACTTTCGAAATGTCGTGTTGTTAATTTAACGTAAAACTTAACCGTAATTATTCAAAAACATACAAAAATGGGAACAATAACGTTCACCTATATCATCGACTCTTAAGCAATCGTGTGAATCAACACATCGTTTCATTGACTCGAAGTATGCGATGAAGAAAATTTAATACATTTCGATACGATGAATCACTGTGGTTGCGATGGCGAAGTTGCTTGAATTTCACAAAGCAAATAATCTTTATTAACTTATTAGTTTTTTTTACAAATTCGATAAGAACCGTAACCGAAACTGATAACATTTTGTACTATACTATAATATAACTGTTTTCAACCTCTGGCGACAAGAATAGAGGCCGAAATTTTTGTCGAATCGGAAACTGTAAATCCGTTGGTCCGGAAATGTTGCGGTGCTCGCGTCGCGTCGCGTCGCGTCGGGGCGAAATAAATCGTAAAGGAAAATTCGTTCTTCGGGGAAGGGGATTCAAAGTCGACAAATGTTATTGTCGCAGGTGGATACATCACGATGTCGGGTCACATAGAATACTACGGGGGCGCGGGTGCAGGCGGCGGGATGCTTCCCGCGGGCGGAAGTGGAATGTCGGGGATGGAAGACAGCATGCAGGGCATACCGATGCAACCGGGAAGACCGATGAGCGTTTGTTCAGTGAGTTCTTGCGGTGCCGGAGGACCTAGTCCTGCGCACAGGACAGGCAGTGGCCTGTACTCGAATTGCGGCAGTAACAACCCCCAGGAAGAACTCATGAACGACGAGCTGCTCATGTCCCTTTCCGTGCGCGAATTAAACAAACGCCTCCATGGCTGCCCGCGGGAAGAGGTGAGTCAGGTCTCTTATTTTTTTAATCTCACTCCCATCTCTCTGATGCTTAGTTATTTCCCGTTGCAAACGATTTCCCGACTTTTATTCCGTTTGCGAACACGGCCTTTCGTACGTTCTCAACTTTAGTCGATTTACAATACAGTCAGTCCTCCACGTGTGCGGTTAATTCGTTGTAAAGCGTTTCGCTTGAATCGAATTGTATAAATAGATGTGCTTTTCAAACGTCATATTGAGTCCCTGGGGGCCAACAGTGTCAAGTTTAAAAGAATACTTTACGGTTCATGTAATACTAGAAAAATATGTTTACATTTTTTAATAAATTTAATCGAAACATATTATGCAACGTCGTATTTTCTATGTTTATACGCTGTCTGAACGGAAAGCGACAGAAAATTAGGCGTTTAACAAAGACATAGGTGACGACGTGATCGCATAACTCGAGGATTTACTGTACTTCCTATCCGATTACAAGTATTGCAAGAATTAGAAGCAAAGTCGAGCCTTACGAATTGTACAAGTTGTAACAGAGTTTATGATAAAATATTTCTCACTTTCGCGATATCAGAAGATAGAATCCACTTCCAAAGGATCTTACATCCAGAAACTTTAAGTGTACCGACTGTAATGTAATAATAGTGATATTAACACATTGCCAACCAATTTGAAGAAATATCAATCACGTAGAAACACTTGTACAAACTGTATGCAATCTAAAATTAAAGATAACATTAAGAGAAACTAAATGAGAGTTAATTTTCGAAAAACATATATATATATATATATATATATATATATATTTAAGATCGCTTATGTTGCTAGCCTTAGAGGTTAGTCCGTTTGAATATCGATTAAATACATTTTTAAATATTCTCTACTTACGATTAAGAATACCAATTATTTTATAAATTATTTCACTAAGCAAATATAATTTATCCTAACATAGTCTTGTTTAACAATTTTATATTCATCAGAAGCTAAGTATAATTTGATATTTTAAGAAACTTTCTCCATGATCAGTTCTCCAGAAACAAAGGTTTATTAATCACCATATTCTAGGAGTCATATTTCCGTGTATATTTTTAAAAAAGTGTATGGTTGGCAAAGTGTTAATAGCGATATAAACAAAAGAGAAGAATTCGCAGAAAGCCTGTTAAGTTTAAGAAATCTAAGCGGAGCGAAAACGAAGTGGATCGTTGACAGTAGAGCGACTCGCCCTATGGTCAAACATACAATCTCACCGATTTTCAACACATGTATTAACGAGGAAATTTCGTAATTCGTTGAAGATGCATATAAATCGTGACGAAATTTTCCTGGAACGCGCTTGTACAATTCGCGATGGTAGATGATCCAAACAAGAAAGAACAATGGCGATCGCGTAGATGATAAGAGATTTACTAGATTGGAATCGATCCATTGGTAAAAATGAATTTCTCGTGTTGTGCGAAGGTTGTGCGTCTGAAGCAGAAGCGACGGACCTTGAAGAATCGCGGCTACGCTCAAAACTGTCGCAGCAAACGGCTGCAGCAACGTCACGATCTCGAGACGACGAATCGGAACCTGCAAAACGAACTTCAACGGTTGAAGATCGAGCTGGCTCGGGTCCAGCAGGAACGCGATCTCTACAAGCAGCGATGCGAAATCCTCAGAACCAGACAGAATCATCATCATAATCACAATCATAACCATCATCAGCAACAGGCGTCGCAACAACAGCAACAACAACCGCAATCGCAGCAACATCAGACGCAAAGCCAACAGCAACCGCCGCCTCAGCAACAGCAACAGCCGTCGCAACAGCAACACCAACCAGCGCCTGCTAGCCCCGAAGTTTATCTGTGACATCGACAGCGCCGAGGAGGCGCTTGCTGGACCTGAACAGATCATCCGTTGAGAGATCGTGAAATTCTCGATCGGTGAGTGTCGAAAAACATTTATTCTTCATCATTTTATTATTTCATTTCACTCGTACGAGCGTTTCCTTGCGAGAAACGTACGAGGGTCGTTCGATAAATGCAGACACGATGCGTGTAACATTCAAGATGGCGGCGAATGTTCTAACGTGCTTCCTACCGTCCCATTTTATTCCTTGTTCCTTTTTATTTTACTCGTTTATTCGACGCAAATTTATGGGTACGTTTACTATAATTTTAACGAGGATGTTTGTTTTATCGTTATAAATGTTCAGTCAATCGTTCGGATCGACCGTTTTGTTTAAAGTGACGCCACAGTGCTTCACGTATGTGGGAATTCAGACTAAAAGCCGTAACTTTTAAACTAATCAATTTTCGACCTAAGAACTTTAATACTTTTTGGAAGAGGATACGAAAAGTATACATTTTCGATTAAATGAATTTAAGTGATCTTGATTTTTTATCGAATAAAAAATGCCTTGTTGATTTGTACAAATTTCAATAATATTCTGACATCATTTTCTACAACAAATTGGCAAATTCAGTACAAATGATTGATAGTATTAAAATGCATGTTCCTTTACTAGTATCTTAATATATAAAAATTTGCATGGAGTTTTTGTCCATTACGCGACACACCGTGGACACTTTATTCGCGTTATAATCGAAATGTACGGTTTTTTTTTTGTGCGGAAAAGTAAGTCAAAAGTGTGCATTTCATAATTACATATTCTTTCTGTATCTTATGCGGACGCATACAGAAAACATCGTTTGAAATTATCATTGTAGCTAACAGATTACGGTTCTGTGACATCATTTTTGTTTAATCGTAATTCTTTTCATAAATTTTATGTCCGGAACAATCGAAACAATTGTTCGTGAGGATAAAAGCAGCCGTTTAGATCTTTTATCGGATCAAGTTTTAATCCCGTGCAAATCCTTACATCGTAACGAATAATCCTTTCTGCTTTACATCTCTGTTTATTATAGGTAGTTGTAATCGTGATTCTCGTGTATGATTTTAATAACGATCGATGTCAAGTGCACGATGATTTTCGATACTGTGTTATCTTTATTTTTTTTTCTTTTTTTAATTTGTTCACAGTGACATACCTTGGCCGTAGGTTGAAAAAACCAAGCAAGCAACCGAGTATTCCTTCGAGAAGCAGTTTTTCAATCGAGATTTAAGTCCTAAGCACATCTCTAAGCTCGTCTACGTGTATATAGCGCTCAGTTCTCGGTCTTTATATTTTTTTCCCCTTTCTTTTTCTCTCTTTACACAGCTTTGTTAAGCCACGGCGAGGGCCTTGACTGTTAAACTGACTTTGTAAATCGTGTATGGAGTTACAGCGCAACTAAGGTATCATTAGATTAAAGGTAATTAGTTCTATTCGCATAGGTATATGAATATATGCTCGTGGTAGACTGAACGTCTTTGCCAAATATTGTACCAAAAAGAGAAAAAAAAAATATATGAGAATAACTGTACTTTGTCGTAGCGCAAAAAGGAACAGTGACGAAGCTTGCGCGAAGAAACGGTAGCGTTAAGAGGTTCATCCTATTTGTTATTTAATTTCTAGCCAATTAATAATTTTAATCGTTCGATACGAACAAATCGGTTTGGATAGCCTTCGTTGCTGCCTGTCGTCTTTGCTACTGTTCGCGTTTTAAAGTACATATACAGCGTGATATGAAAAATGGGTCAATACATTTGCAGGTATATAGTATATAAACATGTATAAGAAACATTTAATTAACCTCTAATTGCTTCTTAATTAATCGGAGATATGTAGAGTCTCTGTACTAATTTAATTTCAGTATTTGTTTCTTGATAATTATACTTTTAAACGTGTGTACAAATGAAACGAAGAATTGAGAAATTTTACAGAGTAGATGGTAAGCAAACAATACGTTAAAAATTCAACCATCAGCCATGAAAATGTTTAATGTTATTTTTTTTTTGTCACTTGAACACCTTGTTTATAGAACTCGTAATTATTTGTCAAATCTTAAAGAGATAAATCCGTAGCACAAGATATGATAAAAATGATACACGAGAAAAAGATATCCATATTGTATTTTTAAAATTATCAAGGGCTTTGAAAAACCTAATATTTTTTTACTAATTTTGATAAAGAAATAAATATAATTAACACGATTAAAACAACTACGTTTCATTTTAAAATATAAAACGACGTTTTATTTACACTCCAGATCCGATCGCGTTTTAACATAAAATGCAATTATTTTTTTCTCTTTGAAATACTAAAATTGGCGGCAAATGTTTACAGTTATAAGTAGAATTAATTAAATTATACGTAAGTTGCGGTACGTAGGATTTTATAGTTTCATTTTTGATTCGTTTTAACTCGAACAAGAGAAGGATCGACGTTTTTTCAAAGCAAAATTCTTATTTCAAATTCGAGATTTTCCTAGCGTAGAATTTTGCAAATTTTTATATTTCGCGTCACGTTCTATGATAGTTCGTACAACATACAGTGCTGTGAATAATTATAAAATGAAATAACAACATAGTTAATAAGAAGTTTGGTATCACTTTCCTTTTATCGTTTCTAACAGCCGTTTCCGTGCATACTATTTATCAGTTTGTCTAAAATGTATCGAGTAATTTCCGTCCATCTATATTTTAATACTTTTATAAATTGTAGTTTTGCGAATCCATCTTATCGTTCTGCGTTTCTTTGCAATGCATCTCGCAAATTGATTGGGTTCGAATCAAGATTTTGAGGTAGTTATTATCTTACAAAAATTGTGAGAAAATTTTAGGTTGGAAGATAAACGCCCTATGATTTTCGAATTGTTCTATAGAAGAAATTAAATTTAAAAAATTCTATGTAGTTTATTACAGACAATGTTCCTTTAATAATTATTTTTCTAAATACTATATGCCTCCAATTCGTTCGACCCTGGATCACCCTGTATTTAAGAATAATTAATTGACGTCCAAGTTCGAAAGTGGTTTCGATCGTTCCTTATCGTTTATCGGTATTAATTTTTACATAGTCACGCGCGTGTAATACAGCGTCCTTGAACTCGTGCATCGTGGCAGCACCGAAGATACATTTGAACGACGCGTTCTATAAATTTATACTTCCGAGCGAATAGTGGAGAATGTTTTAGGGACTTGTACCGGTTAAAAATCGGTTGTACTGTCGTAATCCTCATAAAAATCGAAATATCGAAAAATACTGGTATTATTTTCGGTTTCTCTATTTTGTTACCATTTCTCAAGATTTTTTTTAAGTAGAGATCTAGAACCGGTACTATTTTTTTATCGTAATTGGCACCAGTTTTACTAAGACTGATATAATACCGAAGTTTCTGTATACCAAAATAATTATCATCTTTTGACGATGGAAACATTGTATTCCAAAACGTTGCCACATTTAGATTATCGTATACTAGAATGGAATTGTAGACTTGAAAATAAAGTGGAATATAAAGAAACGAAGATCGGTCCTCGAGTTTGGTGATAATTTTTATTTCGTTTTTCGGTATTACATCGGTTTCAAAATCGCTGATATAACAACGGTACGAAAATCATACCGGTATCGAGTCCCTGTTTTAGGCAAGGGCCAAGTTTTCGTTGAATGGAGTAGCCGAAAAGGCGGATAATTTAGGCGATCGCTTTCTGTTTCGTTTCGACGTCGAATCGTGAAGAATTCGAAACTGATCATCGATTGATCGATGGGATCTGCTTCTACTTAGTACCTACGATGTTCGAACGCGTGTGCAAGCATGGCTGCGAGTGTCTGTTTTCTTAAGGGGTGGTCGCGGCGAACCTGTGGGGTCATCAATTTTTTTTCGAACTGTTTCCGGCGATTCCAGAGCAAAAATAAGTAGACACGTATCCGAGCTTTTTTGTCATTTATTTATAAAGATATTTAACATTTAATTTAAAAAATTTTGTGTTACGCGTAGTTTACATAGGAGTTGAAATTCTTTTTCTACTTATTTTTGCTTTAGAATTATCGGGAAAAATTTGAAAAGAATCGACGACAGATGCAACCTCTCCTTGTTAGAAATTGCGTAACAAAGACGTGTCGGTACATTTTCGTACCGGCACCAGACGAACGGTGATATCGTTTTTTAGTACTTATGGCACAAAATGATCTGTATACGGTAGCTCTACAAATTATCGTCTCTTCTGTTTCTTTTCTAAGGGATGTTTGAACGAGAGGGGGCTGCGTTGTTTTTCTCTGTGCTATACAGCGGCGTAAATTTTGCGACGAGAGCGTACTCGACAATCGTCCTCGTTGTCGCGTAGTAAATGTTAATTAATAGATTTTCAACGAAATCTATATTTTCTTCTTTATTTCTTCTCACAGCAGCTTGTTTTATTTCGTACTATTTCTTTGGGGTTGTGCAAGAATACAGGCGAAGAGGTTGATACAAAAATTACGCCACTGTCTTATCGAATTACATATGAAGCATATATATTATTGTTTTGTCGCGTTGGATTATGGTCCTATACGATTTAAGAATCTTTTAATTCCCGTTACATTGTCTCATGTGTACATAAAATAATTATTATACTTCTTATTATAAATAAATGCCGATACCGGCGGTTTCAGATACACGCAGTACTAATTTATCTCTCACCGAGCCTTCATACGTCCCTTCCTCCGAAACGCTCCATTAACGTCTTCAGCATAGATAAAACAAAAAGATAAAATTAAAATTAGTTTGAAAATTCCGCAAATGAAAATAATTATTTCAGTTGTTGCAAAAAGTAATTTCTATTTCGAGTTTTCAATTTCAGTTACATAAAATTTGTCCTTTCTACGAAAAGAATATTTTTTCTAAACGGGTCATGTGTTGGCCAGTATTTATCGATTGTTAACGTTTATTTAGATTAGCGTCGATTGGTATAGCTTATTTCTCTATGGTAAGTTTCTTTTTATAAATCTATCGAGGTCAGTTAATTATTAACTTTACTTTGTAAATCAATAACGGCTTATTGGTTTATGTAAGAATTTTTATTAATTACTCAAAAGTTATCGATTGTCTATTTTGATAAGATTAAAATAAATGTTATACTTTACACATTTAAAATTGAAATCTATACGACTCGATTAAGTTACCAAAATGTTACCTAATATAGTTATCGTTTAACGATAGAACAAATTTGGAACTCGAATTAAAAAGTACATATTTCCGTATGTGGGATATTTCTGACTTACCTAAATTTTACGATGATTGTCAATTGTAAAAATTGATTATCAATGTCTATTTCTATAAATCGATGCCTCGTATTATACAGGGTGTCCGGCCACCACTGGGAAAAATTTTAAAGGAAGATTCTAGAAGCCAAAATAAGACGACAATCAAGAATATCAATTTGTTGATGGAGACTTCGTTAAAAAGTTATCCAAAAATTAAATTAAAAAATTTCAAATCATTCTGAAAAAATTATTTTTGGTTGCGGGAGTCAATTATAATCATTTTTGGTGAATACACATACCCCCAAAATCCTACCCACTTTCGAGAAGAAAATTCGGGTAGGTGCTGAAATTTTTCGGTAAAAAAAAAAAATTTTCAAATCGTTCTAAAAAAATTACTTTCAGTTGCATGGATCGATTACAATTATTTTTGGTCATTACATATACTCTCGGAATCCTACGCATTTTCGAGAAAAAAATTCCTTACCGAAAATCTAATGTGAGGCTAAAAATGCTTCCCTGAAGCATGCGTATCTTTAAAATGTCATAACTTCTGAACGGATTGGGGAATCTTAATGTTTCAAAATGTAAACAACGCGTATTTTGGCGAAGAATATGTGGACATTCCAAAAATATTCGAAAAGTTATTCCTTGACGCTGCAAAATGAAAAAAATTCCATAAAAATAGTCCAATTTTCAAACAGCCATAACTCCTACAATAGTGAATGTACTTCATTGAAATTTTGGGGAGAACTAGAGTTGATGGATACCTGCAAAAAGTGTTAAACAACTTTTCTGTACAGTGCCAACCAAATTTATTAAAAATGAAAAATGAGTTTTTAAGAAAAATCGACAAGGTAGGTGCCTAAATTTTTCAACGAAAAAAAATTCAGTACGTGCGGAATTTTAAATGTTAATTACTTTTTAACGAAGCCTCCATCAACAAATTGGTATTGTTGATTTTCGTCTTATTTTGGCCTGTACAATCTCCCATTAAAATGTTTCCCAGGGGTGACCGAACACCCTGTATAAAGATCCGTAAATGAAACTTTAAATGAACACTATTCACTGATACGAGTACATCGATAACGGCATAGACGTAGAAGGGCAAGATCGATTAATTAAAATGGCCGGGAATACGAAAGAAAAGGAGAAAACGATCGAGAAAGACTATAGAACGGGAAGTTCTGGTTAGCAGCGACTCGCATTTCGCGTGATCCTAGGTGTAACGTGCAATGTGCAGGCTCAGCATTTCATTTGAGAGGCAGACACGAGCATTGGGTATGGAATCCCCTTCGTTCCTTTATGCACCAACAAACTCCTCCTCTCTATTTCTTTCTTCGTTCCTCTCATTAACCTCATCGTGCCTCCAAGCAACAAATATTTGCTACACGTGCAACCAGCAGTTTCGAATTTCGATGAATTTGACGCTACTCGTTGCCGTTATTCTACACTGTCGTCCTCGTCCCGTTGGGCTATCAAACAAATTTTTAGTCCCACTCGTCAGTTACATATAAAATGCTCGATTCAGTCTATCGATAATATTGCCTGGTCCAGATTATAACTGACATTTGGAAATATCAACCTTTACCGATGATAAAAAAATAGGAAGATAAAAATCTTTATAATCGAGTTTGTTGATTAAAAGGATATGAATTCATTTACAAATTACATTTGTGAAAAGCATAAGGTTCATATTTTGACAAAAGATTTTTATTTCAGACGAACTTAATAAATACAAGTTAGAAAAAGTAATGTTTTTTTATTTATTAAAATAATTTTGTTCGAAGCGAAATTATCGAGCCGTGGATGTTTGTTTTCATCGAACCCTTGTCTAATGTAGTCGTAATCGTAGAGATTTACGATTTCTATGTTAGATCCCTTTATCGCGAGCATTTGGCTGGCTTCGCGGCTTAAAAACGCGAAACATTGGCACGCGTTTTCATGAACGCACGCGGGGCTCCGTCGTTCTCGCTTCCCTCACTTTATTTGCAACGCCGTTTCTGCTGACACCGACGCTCGACGATGAATCCATCGAGATGGAACGTCGGTAAACAAAACGTTCACCTCTTTCGGTGAAGCCCGCAGCCCAACACGGACCGGAACCGTTCGGAAGACCACGATCAATGCCCCATAACCACGGAATCGTGAACAGGAATAATTTTATACGCCTCTAGAACACCAATGTTCCCAGACGTTACAAAAAGCTACGAAGAATAATACGTAGACCGTATATTATCGTGAAAAAATATCTCGTTCTTTACGATTTAGCTTTTTATTCATGTACACCGAGGTAGGAAGTAACAAAGAACAAAATAATTTTGTTCTATCAGGTCGTTCCATATATTCGTGCCAAGTTTTCTACTCCAACTTAAGGAGCCTTTCTACTTCGTGAGATTAAAAAAATCGGTTTGTCTTTTGTGTTTTCTTTTAGTATGTAGCCTCGAAAATATATCTACACAATATTAAATTTAAATTCGGAAAACTAACGAAGTTATAGCCTGCTGACAGGTATAACAACTGGACATAAAACTTTAAAGCTGTTTTTCTCGAAACTATATTTTTCTACGATGCGTAGACTATGACATGAAAACTATTTAAGATATTGTGGCGCTGCTTTGCTGTGGGTAGGAACTCGGGAAGTTCGTAGGAGGACAGCTAAGGAAAGGAGGGGGCGCGTTTCATCCGAGCCTGCTAGCGGACTCGTTAGTAAGGCTTTCTAGCAGGCCCTGACTTAGACGACTGGAATATTGGGAAGTCGGCCGAGGAGTATAGTATACTGGGTGTTCGACCTCTCCTGGGAAAAATTTTAATGGTAGATTATAGAGGCCAAAATAAAACGAAAATGAAGAATACTAATTTGTTGATGGAGGCTTCGTTAAAAAGTTATTAACGTTTAAAGTTCCGCCTGTAGAACGGCAATCTGCGTACAGCAGCGTGCATGCGATAGTGGTTCTCACTCAGCATGAGAAACTCTACTTAATGACTCATCGACAGCCTTACAGTTTTTTAGCTGTTCGCAGACAGCCGTTCTACAGGCGGAACTTTAAACGTTAATAACTTTTTAACGAAGTCTCAATCAACAAATTGGCATTCTTGATTTTCGTCTTATTTTGACCTCCAGAATCTCCCTCTGGTGCCGAGCATGGGAGGCGACACTACAATATCAACATCAAATTTATGTAGTATCTTTAGAACTGGTCTCTCTATAGTATGAATTAAGATAACTACGATATGTGCAATACTTTTTCTTTTATTATCAAAAAAGCAACCGAATATATGAAAATATTCAGTACCTTTTCGTAAAATAACTACCATTGTGCCATTTTTCGTTTTTTTGAAAAGATCTTAGTTTATGCTATAACCAAACTTATCTATGTATATTAAGAATATCTTTGGTTTTTGGATTTCGACTAACTTGTTTGCAAAATATTACCTACGCAGTCGGGCGCTGTACGTAAAAACTACTGTTCGTTGATCAACAAAAACTGCGTAATCGATAAATATTATGTGTTGCAAAAATTCGTAAATATAATTAAATATATAATGAATATATCCAAAAAACCCGGAATTAATCGTTCATTAATAGTCCGCAAAAAAAATCATAACGAAGCACATTTTTTTCTTGCCTACACGGTAAAATGGCTCCTTAAAGTAATATTTTAAACATACAGGGTGTTCGGCCACCTCTGGGAAAAATTTTAATGAGATTCTAGAGGCCAAAATAAGACGAAAATCAAAAATATCAATTTCTTGACTGAGGCTTCGTTAAAATGTTATTAAAAAATTAAATTAAAAAATTTCAAATTATTCTGAAAAAATTATTTTTGGTTGCAGGGGTCAATTACAATCATTTTTGGTGAATAGACATACCCCCGATATCCTGCGCATTTTCGAGAAAAAAATTCAGTACGAGCTGAACTTTAAACGTTAATAACTTTTTAACGAAGCCTCCATCAACAAATTGGTATTGGTTCAGTTTTTTTATATGCTAACAAAAATATTCGTTCAGAAAATTTCTTTCCATAAGCCAGTGTGGATTCTAAACGTCGAGCTTTGACACAATATCTATTTCTTTCAAATTTCTATGAATCGTTGATATTAGTACCTTTAAAATTTTAGAAATCACCTGAATTGACGAATTTTGTTTCTTTTCTATTAAATTTCAAATTTTATCCTCGTCAATTTCGGAATATTGAACGACACGAACTTATGGGACGATCTAATAATTTAGAAAATATAATGCACGATTTAGACTACGATTACTGGAGTTCTGACTAAGTAAGTAAATAACTGTTACTTCCACTTCCAGCACGTGTTTACAATATGT